AGATTCGTCTTATACTCCTGCATCGATGAGTCCGGCGACTGCAGCTTGGATATGACACACGCATCAAAGAACTTGGCCTTGGACTCCCACAAGGAAAGCAGCTTCGACAACTTCTGGCGCTGATCATTGGTGGCAACTAATCAAAGGAAGGCACAATTAGTATACTCCACATACTGAGAAAGATTATAGATGCTTACTCAAGTCGGCGCTGCAGAACATCGGTATAACGACATTCTCGAGGCTGTTCTTCAAATCGCTGATATTTTTGCGCATGCTGTAAAAATAGATGTTGGCGCTTAAGCAAAACGTGCCTGCATCTCGCATTTAAGGATGCTGTGTGGCCAGTTCGTATCAAGCACAAAACTAATTCGTCTCTCTGTCTGTCAGTCAGTCCGTTTCTTGTGCCTGAACTGAGCAACAAGTTTATATTATAGTTGCTTTTTGAAGAAAGTGTCTATAATTTTTCTTAAATATCTTAGTTAAGTATTTCCTACAATAACCAGCAATTTGGCAATATGACTTTTTATTATATCTAAATATAAGTGTATTCCGTTTTTATCAGCCCGAAAAATAACTTTTTGTCTTTTTCAAATGTATATATTAATGTCAGATCACTATATGTCCCTTACACTTTCCCAATATAGCTGACTATGTAAATTCATTTCATTCACAACTCCTTACAGGGTATTTAAAATTTGATAGACCGGACTGCTTTACGAAGTGAATGTCCGTCTGTTATATATATACATATCTATATCTTGACAAGTTTTGGAGCAAACTACTTATATTTATTTAATACCCGCCTACAACATTGTTTACTTCTTTGTATATATGTATATTTTTATTGCTAATTACTATTTGCTTTTTGCGAACTTACCAATGGTGGAGTATATCATTAACTAAATATATAAGATGCAATTTTTGCTGAAACGTTGAACCATTGACCAAAGCCCTAAAAATAAATTAACAAACGAAAAAAACATATTTTTGTCCATTTCTCTTTGCTCTCTTCTTTCTTTATCTCGCCTGCTGTAAGCGCAGCATCAGCAACATTTCTCAAAAGTGTTTGCTGTGCTGCTTATAGATTCGTATAGTTTGTGTGTGTTTGTTTATGTATGTGCACGTGTATGTGTATGTGTATGTGTGTGTGTGTGTGTGTGTGTGTGTGTGTGTGTCTTAACTAAGCAACTTTTTAGTGCAGCCTAACTACCGGCTCAAGGCCCAAAGGACTCAAACGACGCTATGAGCCCAGTTTGCACCTTCTCTCTTTCAAAACGAATCAACGAATCAAATTATAATTATAATAATTATTATTATTTTTCATCTTTCGCGCTCTCTCTTCAGAAAAAAAGACATCACTCTCTCTGTCTGTCGCTTGCACACGCTCGATTTCGATTTGATTTCATTTCGTTTCGATTTCGTTTTGTTTTTTTCGTTTTAACACTCGATTGAAAGAAAGAAATGTAATTAATAAATGTTGAAAGATCAATTAATTAAATATAAACTGAGGCATACTTCTTTAAAAGATATTGTAAAACGACATTGATTTTTGCGCTGTCGGTTGAATGCTGTAAAATCCAGTTCTTGCCTAAAATTGCAATATCAAACGGGTTACTCATATTGTAATTGTCTCTTTTTAGCATTATTAAGTTTAGGTAAAGTTTGAATTAAATTTGATTTATATTTCTTAATTATTTGTGAATTTGGAATTTGCAGTTTGTCTAGCTCAAAAAGTTAACTGACGTAAACGCATATATATATATGTATATAAATATATTTATTTAGATTTTTAAAACTAGTTTTTTTTTTTTTTGTAAGCCTCTCGCAGCTTTAGCTGTGCATATTTACCTGATGAGATGCTATCCTTGGTGCAGGACTCGATGATCGGCTGGAGTACAGCATCGAAATCCCTCAGCACGATACCCTGCTCAGTGGCCAATTGCTCCAGCTGTGTCGTCTGTGCCGCTGCCATCGCTTCGTCGATTTGCTTCGTCTTTTGTGTCATCAACGCCTAAAGATTTCACGTTTTCATTTCGTTTCGTTGCAGTTCATTTCAATTCGTTTCGGTGTCGTGTTTGAGTTTTTGTCGTTGATTTTGTTCGAAATTTTCACATATTTCGTATGCGACAATAAACGTGGATTTCGTGTTGTTTTTTTTTAATAATTATTTGAGTTTTATACACAATTTTTTTTTTTTTTTTTTTGGTCATTTGGTATGAAGAGTTTTTAGGTTTTATGTTTCAAAAAATATACAATAAAGCAAAAATTTAATGTAGCATTGTAAAATTGGTTATTCAATAGGTTAAAAAAAAAGAAAAAACAAAACAATAATAATATAAACATGTAAAATGTGAATCATTAAATTACTGCAGTTATATAAAAGCTGAAAGTATATGCATATATTTATATATATAAAGAATGTACCCAGGACAGGGGACTGAAGAGTTCAATACCAAAAAAAAATTATTTCCCATCTATAATGGGTTCAGGGTATAAAAAAGAGGCATACACACACACAAAGTCAAAGCAGAATAGGGGCAACCCAGTTGAAGTTAGTTGATATTGCAGATTCTTTGGGAGTTTTCGTATCTGACTCGAAAGCTTAATCAGAGACGCGAGACAAAAATTAACTTCGGAACGCCGAAGCATGAACACTCTAATAGTCATGATTGCAGCATTACAAGACAAAGAAATCCTTTAATTTAAACAAAAAGAATTGGAAAATTTCTTCGGGGAGCTGTTTGGGACAGTCAGATGGAAACTTAAAGAATCGAAATTTTTAGAATCTTAAATTCAAGAGTCACGATCAGAATATATATTCTGAAGAAATTTAAATGCTGTTCTTTTACGTAAAAACGTATTGCATCTATGATCAATTAAAAAATTAAAAAAGCTGCTTTCCTTCAGAAGCAGTGACAGTTAATATGTATAAGTCACACCTGCGAGAAGAGAGAGAGAGAGAGAGAGAGGAAAACAAATACTAAATTATTTACCGTATGCTGTGCGGAAAGATTCGCATCCGATTGTTTGATTTGCTCTCGCAGTGTATTCTGTTGCATTTTAATGCCATCCAATTGGCTGGCCAAATTCAATGCCAACGCAGTGCCGTTAGCTGATTGTGGAGTTGGAGCTGAACCAGCTCCGGTTGCAACGCCGGCATTAGATGGCCACAAATGTTGTGCTTTTTGTTGCTGCATACTATCCTGGACATTGTCATGCATAATTGGTGGCATTGGCTGCTGCGGCTGCTGTTGTTGCTGCTGCTGTTGCGGCGCATAGTGTGGATGAGTGGGTGGCGGTTGTTGCATATAGAGCGTGTTCGATGGCATGCCACCCTGCTGTTTTAACACTGCATAGAAAAATATATCAGCAAAAAGGAAAACAGAGATATTTATCTTCCACTTACTTGCCTGCTCCGCTGCCACACGAAACTGATAATAGTTGGCAAATTCGCCGCCATAGAGAAATTCAAACTTTGGATTATTCTGTTGCTTTTGTTTGGTAATTGCTTCAAACTCGGGTCCATTGCGTGCCACAAATTCAGCCAATTTATCTATTATATTGCGTAAACTTGCATCTGCGAAACAATTAAAAGTTTAAGTTTTTTTTAGCGGAGCTCCGGAACGTGTGCGTGTATGTGTGTGTGTTTTGGCAAATACATTTATTCATACCTCTTGGCGGTTGAGCATCCATTGTTTTTAGTTTAGTATTTGTTTACAAACTAGCTATTTTGTAAAGAGTAAGGCTTAAATAATCATAACTTTTAACAAACAATTCATCACTTTTTGCGGCGGCCGCAAAGAATTTTTATCAGCAGCACCCTTCTTCTTACTTTTTATTCAGACGCCATATTTAGAGCTGGAGCGTTTGCAATTCGCTATTTATCGATAGGTTTTCCAATCGAGCTGTCAGACTCGAAAAATCGAGCAGATTCATTTTTGCTGTTTGTAAAAACCTGCCAGTCATTTTGCATTTAATTCTATTGGAAAAGCAAACATGGCAGTACGTGTTATAAACGACGAATCACATTTTCAAGCGGAGCTCTCCCAGGCGGGCATACGTCTGGTTGTTGTAGATTTTACGGCAACATGGTGCGGACCCTGCCAAAGAATCGCGCCCGTCTTTGACACGTTTCCCAATAAATATCCCAAAGCCATATTCCTTAAAGTGGATGTGGACAAGTGTCAAGACACCGCAGCTGGCCAGGGAGTCTCTGCTATGCCAACATTTATATTCTATAGGAACAGAACCAAAATCGATCGTATTCAAGGCGCTGATATAATGGCTTTGGAGGCGAAAATAGAGGAGCACATTGGCACGGGAGTTGCCGAGGAAGCAGGCGAGGATTACGGCCAAGGATTGGTGAGAATATATACGCTGCACATGAAAGTGCACTTAAGAAGAATTGATTTGATCGCATGACTCATTTATACAGATGGAGCTGAACACGTTCATCTCGAAGCAGGAATGCGAATGCTTGAATGAATCCGACGACCACAACTTGAAGCATGCTCTTACCCCGGCCGGAGGCTTCTTGCAGTCGGATTGCGATGAGCAGCTCATCATGTCGATAACATTCAATCAAGCTGTCAAGATACATTCGCTTAAGTTCAAGGCACCCCCCAAATTGGGTCCCAAGGAGGTGAAGCTATTCATTAATCAGCCACGCACCATTGACTTTGATTTGGCCGAATCCATGAGCAGCGTCCAGGATCTGACGTGAGTGGAGTTAATCTTACTCAATATGATAACCTATTAACCATAAGCTACTTTCAGCTTGGCCGAAAAGGAGCTGGAGAAGGGCAATCCCGTCAATCTGCGCTACGTGAAATTCCAGAATGTACAAAACATACAGATCTATGTGAAGAATAATCAATCGGGTGGTGACGTTACTCAAATTGATTACATTGGCTTCATTGGCTCCCCCATTATAACAACCAAGATGACGGACTTTAAGCGTGTCTCTGGCAAAAAAGGCGAAAGTCACTAAAATGCATCGCTTGGCATTCAAATTGAACTTTAGTGATTGCTCCTCTTGTGCTTTCAACTTAAAATTACACATAAAACCATAACTAAAGAAATGCATTAACAATGGACAGCTAACAAATAAATCAAAACAAGTTTTCAATTAATAATATCCTCATACTGAATCACAGACTACTCAGGGGTCGGCCGTCAAGTTCCTTGTTGAGCATTTGCCAAGCTCGCTCTGCCTGCAACTGTGTGAAATCATAATCCCACTGTGAACTGAAGATTACTTGGGATTTGGCCACAATATCTGTGTTCTTCACTTGATTAGCCAGCCGATTGCGAGCTTCCTGTTCGCTGAGATTGTTTCGCTCGATGATGCGCCGAACGGCTTCATCTGGTGGCACAATCATCGACCACACCTCGTGGCAATGGATCTCCCAGCCTGCCTTCAGCAGCACCGCTGCCTCCAGCACCACCACCTTGGGCACTTTCGCTGCAGCACGCAGCTCGTCCAGACGTCTATTCACCTCCACCATCAGCTCTGGCCACACGATAGAATTCAATGTTTCCAGCTCCTGTACATTGCCAAAGACTCGTGGACCCAGCTTTGTGCGATCAATGCGACCATCATCGGAGAGTATCTCCTCTCCGAAATGTTTAACGATTTTCTCATAGCACGCCTGACCAGGCTCGTAGACATCATGCGCCACCTTGTCACAGTCGATCACATGGGCGCCCATCTGCCCCAGACGCTCAGCCATTTTACTCTTGCCCGAAGCAATGCCGCCTGTCAGTCCTATAATATATGGGCGAGCAGGCAGATGCGGCCGTGGCTGAAAGAGATGGGGAAACAATTTAAGTTCTGTCAATGCAATGGGATTCGAGCTTACCTCCGGCTGTCGCCAGCGCGTCCCTAGCAGATCAATACGTGTATTGCTGGAGCTGACCTTCGACTCGTGTATGCCGTCAACTACTTTGCTCTCCACAATATCAATTGCGAAGATCTCCAGTTGACGCAGCTGTTTGGCGGCCCGAATTTCGTTGACCTTTTGCCCGCCACGCAACGTCTCGGCACTGACTACAATTAAGTCCATATCAGGATCATGTTGCGTCGGTCCAAAAGGATCATCGATGGGCACAATATCATATTGCAGCGTGTTATCTATGTCCAATAGGAACTCGCGCAATTCGGCAATCCGCTGTTCCACAGGCAGTATGAGCTCTGGCAATATTTTCCCTGTAAATAATTTAAAAATTGATTAGTGAGTCGAATGATAGATAACATCTAAGTGCTGAATCATTTTAGTTTACCTTTAGTCATTGCAGCCGTCGTGACGCCCACGACCAGCCGTTTACAGGCGCGCAGCACGGCCTGAGTGAGGAATATTTTGTGACCAACGTGTATGCGATCAAATGTGCCGCCCAGAACAACTGTAGGGTATGCCTTCTGATTGACATCTGTTTCCAGTAGCTTGAAATCGCAGCTGATGGCGTCATTCAGAAAAATCGTAGGTTGACTTATGTTGAGAGCGTTGCGTAGCCTGTCGCATATCTCCGGTTGATGCGCATCCGAGAATATCATATCAACAGGTTTTCGTAATGACAGGCTGCCGACAGCTGAGTGCTCCTTGAGCGGTGCCACCAGGACGCGCAGATCCACTTTGTTCCCCACATAGCTGCTGCCATCGGCGTACAACTGTGATATAAGCCGACCCCAAGCTGGTGACGATGCAGATTGCGTTGAGCCCGTTACATTTAGGTGAATGTACAGCGAGTTTACGTATTTTTCAATACTTCGCAAAGATTTTCCTAGTTGCTTAATATTGGACACCACCAGCAGTCCAGTTGAAGCCATCTTATCGTATTAAATTCTATATGTACTTTGGACTTGGTTTGTTATTATCATAACGACAAATTAACCTATTCGATAAGCATTGAGTTTGTTTAGCCTATCGCATTGATTTCAGGGCTGCCAAAGGTTTAAAATGCAGTTAATAAACATTTAATTATATATTCCCTAATTTATAAATTAGGCTTTTGTATTTACCTATATTGTCTAAAATTATAAAAGTAGAAATAAAGCTAGATTGAAAAACCGTGTATAATATTTAAATAAAAAGTATAGGTACCAATATTGGTACTAATGTACCAATAGTCGCAACCGTAAGTAAGACCAGAAACTATCGATAAGAAAATATAATATCGCAAAAGTATCTCATCTGCAGTACACCCACCACTGAAGAAAAAAGTTTTTTCACAAATTTTGTAGCATTTTTTATTTATTAAAATTTAAACGATCTGAAAATGTCTCGACAAGCCTCTAGGTTGGATGCCAAGAAAGTGGTGAGTAAGCTGAATGCAAAATGGAAGATAGAACACTCACGGCTGCTAGCTTGTAAGATTAGTTATTTGTTTTTGGTCGTAGTCTTAAGTACCGAACCATTTGAAGTGCCACCCACCCTCAAAATCGGCTTCACATTCGCTTTTGCAGTAAGTGCGGGCGTGTGAGAGGGAAACGCTAGCGAATCGAAAAAGCGCAACCTGCGCGCTATGGATAACCATTTCAGCAGTAACCGCACAGCAGCAGCAATAACCACAAGAATGAGCAACAGCACGAACAGCAACAGCAACAACAATGCAAACAACACGGCCAACGCAAGTGCCAACAATCCAAGCGTAAATGCGGGGACGGCAGCAGTTGGACAGCCAATTCAAGTGATACCGATGCCATTGCTGTCGACAGCTGGAGGCCAAATCATAATCGGGCAACCGCAGACACAGGCGCAGGCAGGCGGAGCAGCAGCTGCCCTGCAGCCTCAATTGATACCACTGCAAGCCAATCAAATCATGCTGCAGGCTCAACAGCAGCCTCAGATGCAAGTGATGCAGTTGCCCGATGGCCAGACTATATTCTACCAAACGCCCACGATCACATCGCTCGATCCGAATGCCGCAGCAGCAGCCGCTGCCGTAGCTGCGCAACCCACACCGCACTACCTCAACATAAATGGCCAATTGGTACAAATAACAGCGGCTCCCAATGCCAACCAAGGCGCGCCCGCAGGCGGCCAGCAGATTATAATGCTACCCCAAATGACGGCGGTCAATGCAGCAGCTGTTGCTGCCAATGCGGCGCAGGCCAGCAACAATGTTCAACAACAGCAACAGCAGCAGCAGCAACAACAGCAGCAACAGCAACAACAGCAGCAGCAACAGGCACAAGTCCAGGTGCAGCTGCAGACGACGACATCCACTGGTATCGCTGGTGGAGTAGGTGGTGGCGGGGGCAGCAATGCAAGCAGTGCGGACGTGAGCACCAGTACCACGGGTACGAATACGAACAGTGAGGAGGATGAGAATTCCAAGGGCGAGGCGGACGAGGAGCCGCTCTATGTGAATGCCAAACAGTATAAACGCATACTGATTCGGCGGCAGGCACGCGCCAAGTTGGAATCTCGCATACCCAAGGAACGCTGCAAATACCTACATGAATCTCGCCATCGGCATGCCATGAATCGGGCGCGCGGCGAGGGCGGCCGCTTTCATTCCGCCCAGGAGAAAGGCGACTCGTCGAGCGGCATGGATCATGGTCTGCCATTAGCAGCGAGTGGCGGGGCAACACTGAGCCGTGGCACAGCGCGAGCACCACCCAAACTGATTGCACCACACCAAACGCCGAGCATAACCATTACGGCCATCAAAACAGAATAGCCGATGCTTGAGTTTATATTGTAGATAGCACTTACCAGCCCTCTTCCCCTTACCCATCTAACAGAGTTCTGTAAACTTTATATAGTTATTTAGATGTAATTAAGTGTAAGACTCAGGACAAGTGGAAAATAAATGTGTATTTATTAAAACGTGTGCATATGTAACCGAAAGAATCTTTTTCTGTTAATTTAACAGAAGTGCTAAAAGTGAGATAAGCTGTTAAGTTAACAGCAGTGCAAATGCTCAACTTAGCAGCGTAAGCTGAAAATGTAATGTAAAAACTAAGATCCTCACTCTGTTAACTTAACAGCGCCTACAGGAATATAAGTATGTATAGGCTAGGTTGGAAAAACTCAATTATTACCTAAATAAAACATGTTTTTAGCCTTAGATATAGACAGTGTGAAGAGTGTCTGCAACGATTTTATTTCTTCTCTTTCTCTCTACACCCACAAACCTGAACACACACAAATATATATAGAACTCGGAGTTCCTGACTTTAACATACGGGGCACTGGTTACACAGATGTTGCGGGACTTTGAGAATGTGGATGATGTGAACAAACAGCTGGAGCGGATCGGCTACAACATGGGCATGCGCCTGATCGAAGACTTTCTGGCCAGAACCTCAGCGCCCCGCTGCCTGGAGATGCGAGAGACTGCGGATCGTATACAGCAAGCGTTCCGCATCTATTTAAACGTGCAGCCAACCATATCCAATTGGTCGGCCGCCTCCGACGAGTTCTCGCTGCTCTTCGACACAAATCCGTTGACCGAGTTCGTAGAGCTGCCAAGCGATCTGAGCAATCTGCGCTATAGCGCCATACTCAGCGGCTGCATACGCGGCGCCCTCGAGATGGTCCAGCTGGAGGTGCAGAGCTGGTTCGTGCAGGTACAGATATACATACATGATAAATGATATTTAGTTTACATAGTGTATATAGCATTGCATAGCCTAAAGAACATTCACATGCACAGTCAGCGTACAGTGAAAGCTCTGCTAAAGCGAACAGCAGCTGCTAATTTATTAAGTACTTGCAACTCCTTTGAACTCGAACAGCAAGCTTTAATTGAATCGAATCGAATGATGACTCAAATTTCATTTCTTTATTGTCTAATGAAATCAACTAAATTTTTTAAAACTTATGAGTTAAATTAAAAAGAGTTTTAGAATTTCAATCATAAGTTTTTATTTCTCATTAACAAAAAACAATGAAAATTATTCGAAAAATCAGATTGAATTTGAGTTTAACAGTGTCTCAAGCCTTTGATGTTCGCTCAAGAGAGTCTTCACTGTATGTGTGGGTGTGGGCGTGTGCGTGTGTCAGTGTGGAATACTTTTTGGTTGCTGCTCCTTTAAGGCAACTTTTTCGCATTTGTATCATTTGCAGGATCAATTGAAGGGCGACAATGTGACGGAGCTGCGTGTTAAGTTCGTGCGACGTCTAGAGGAAGCCATACCAGCTGGCGAGGATTAGATAGAAGTAGACAAAGAAACATTCATATATATATATGAATACATATATATTAGAGCAAGAGAAATATAGTTTGTTTCTCATTTAGAACATAGTTCCAGTAAATTTAAATAAATACAACAAAATAATGCTTGCATTCCGAAGTGAACTGCACAAAGAAAACCACAGCAATAACAATAAATAAATAACAGTTATTATTAATTAATAAAAAAATAAACGTTAACATGTTTGTTATATTTTTATTCGACTTTATACATAGTTGTCAGCTATAAAATATGATGTTTATATATAGGTATACATATACATATATCCAATAATTTTTAATACACGTAAATGAATTTTATTTTGATTTTAAGGCATTTTATTAGTTGCAGTGGGATTTATTCATTACATGGCTTGTGTGTACCTCTAAGGTGAAAATATGTATGTATGTAGGGCTTGCAAGCATGCATGTGTCTAAGCCTTGGCTTAATTTGAAAAATCATTTGATAGTAAGTACAATTGAAATAATAGCAATCCATCGAATATACAATTTAATCGCCTTCCAATGCAACTTCTACTTCTTCAGTTTGCCCATTTCTAATCGCATTATCTTCATTTGCCGAAAACATAAAAAGCTTGTTGTGAAAAGCTTAAGTAGCCATCTCACTCTCACTCAGCATCGCCAGGACGATCCTGACAGGGACTGCGTTCAGCAGCTATCTTTATCTCTTTCACGCCTTTGGAGCAAGAAGTACAAGCCAGCCAAGCTCATTTACTTTTTACGACTAAATACGAGCTTTCTGTATCTCACTAATACTACTGCAACAGTGGGAGGCAATTAAGGCAAAACCTTGACAGAGTTTTAAAACTATAGACAGACGAGCCAATGACAAACGAAAAAGAACGGAAACCAATTGCGATTAATTTCAAAATATCAAAGCGATATTTGATATCGATATGTATATATATATCTTTTTGTATATGTGTATGTATGCACTTTCCCATTGGAAGTGTATTTAAAATTCGGCTAACCGAGGCTAACAATTTCATATTCCACAATTCATTTATCTTTACTTGTGTAAATAAACTTTATACAAATGTTAAATATTCATTTTACTTAATAAAAAAACAAATCTTAGCGTTAGATAAAAGCATAAAAAATAATAAAATTTTATGATTGAACAATTGGTAAGTTTTTAGTTTAGCCGGCTTTTGCTTTTGGTGTTATTTTGGTTTTATTTAACGAATTAACAACAACAAATAACAAAATTATATAGATCCTCTTATTTTTTTGGTTTTTGCATGGAATACTTTCTCACAGGCACGAATACAATACTTTTCTTTATATGTTTTAAGTTTAAAGCTTTTTATTTTGGATTTCAGCTGCACTTGTTGTGGTTGTTGTTGTTGTAGCACAAGATGTTGTTGTTCTCCTTGTTGTTTTGTTTTTGTTTAGTTCTGCTGCGGGCAAAGCATTAAATTGAGGTTCCTGCGCGTCAGCACTTTGCGCAAAGCTTGCAACGTCTTCATGCAGATGACAACGCAACAGCCATTGGCCACGCCCTCCGCTGGGCTTTTGCAGGTGCAAGCGCTGCTGCTGTTGCTACTCGTGATGGCCGGTGGCGGCAGCGGCTTGGCTGAGCAGCAGCCGGAGCTGGCAACGGGCGGCGGACCGCTGCAGCAGCCGCCGGTGCTGGGCGTGGGCATCGCTTGCTTGCTGCCACAGCAGCCAACAGT